GAGTAAAGCGGGGATTGAGGGACACAGAGCAGCTATGAGGATATGGGGGTCTTGATGGAGCTGGGGGTGGGTTGTAAAGGAAGGAAGAGAGGGTTGGAAAGGGGGGGTTGGCTGGTTGCGCAAGTAGGGACTCCAGTAAACATAAATACAGTCGTACCTTGGAAGCTGAACAGCCTAGTTCTCGAACGTTTTGACTCCCAAACAATCAAAACCCGGAAGTGACTGTTCCAGTTTTCGAACATTATTTTGGAAGCTGAATGTCTGATGGGGCTTCCACGGCTTCCGATTGGCTGCAGGAGCTTCCTGCAACCAATCAGAAGCTGCGCTTTGGAAGTTGAACAGACTTCCGGTACAGATTCCGTTCGACTTCCGAGGTATGACTGTACATGATAAAATAGAAACAGTGTCAACAAATGAAACTTTAAAACACCACAGTGATAAAACACATGGACCAAATGGAGAAGGCACAGAAGTTTAAATGCAGGCACGGCTTGGGCAAAGGGCAGTAGATAGAACATTACATTAAATAAATAAATCAAATGCTCTTTCTAAGAGCAAAAGCAGTCCAGGGCAGAGCTGAATGTGCATCTCCTTTGGTGTTAATGGGCTTGCTCACTCCTCCCAGCTTGCTGAGCATCAAAACAAACCGTAGATGCCCCAATTTATGCTGTAAATGTCTTTTTTTAAAAAAAAAAAAATCTGAAAAGGATGATTTCTTTCCTAACACCCATCCCCCGCCTCACCCCATTGGAATAAAGCCCTTTGAAACCAATTAATAGTTGACCTACATAGTCATGTACTTATTTCCTTGTCCCTACCCTGTCTCATACCATACCAGGGATTTTTGCACTGGCAGAAAATGAATGAGTGTGATCATTGAAGCTTGCATTAAGAGCTTCAGGTTTAACACGGCACTGTCTTTTGTAACAGCTTTAAAACAACCCCTCCTGGCAATGTTTCCAAGTATATAAGCTTGCAGAACAAGAATTACAGAGATTAGCCTACAACCAGCCCCCATATGCTTGCTGGTCACATAATTATTGCTCAGTGAGTAATACAATTCAGCATATATATATATATATATATATATATATATATATATATATATATGGTTTTCAGCTAAGGATGGGGGAAATATTCAATTCACATTTAAAGGCAAAGTTACCCATTTCCCGCTTTCTGAAGCAGTGCACAAACTGAAGCACAGACACTCTTTGAAATGTGCATTGATCCGAATTTTGCAATGCAGTTCTCCAGCCAAGTAATGTGTGCAAAATGCATTTACTAGGATAAATTCATGCATACCTTTGTGAAATTAACACCAAAAAACTGCATTATGTATGGGGAAATTACTCGCAAAAATGATTATATTTGTCAAAACTGAATAGGGGGAAAAATGTCTATATTGGGAGAAATTCACACAAAAGTGTTGAGAAATTTTCATGCGGTTTTTTTTTAAAAATAAATAAATTATAACTACATCAACTGCAATGGGAATGCGAAGAATGGAATTTATGACTGGGGCGGAGGAGAGAAATGTAGGAAACAAAAATTGTCAGGTTCTTCCATCCCAAACTTTAAACATGTCCATATGTCGCCAAAGAAAATATAGTCACACCATCATGATTCAACATTTATGTTCCCTAAGAAAAGGGGTTGATTGTTAGTCCACTCTAGAAATGTAGCTCTGGAGGAGAGGTATCCTAAAAAATCTCAGCATCCTTAACTAACGTTCCAAGGCTTCTTTGCGGGAAACCATGACTGTTGGAAGTGGTACAACACCGCTATAAATGCATAGTGCAGATGGGGTCATTGATACAAACAATAAGAAGCAGAATATATATATTTTTGCGGGAGAGGGGTTACTGCTCTAGCACTCAGATTTGACAAAACAATGCCCTTGGAGGTTCAGATGCCCTGCTCACGCCGGTTCATGAAAATAACTCATGGAGAAGAGGACTGTTGATGGCTAATAACAATGGTGGAGGCTATGATCTGCCTCCAAGGTTGGAAGCAGTAATGCTTCTGAATCTTTGGCGATCAGTGGTAGCTGAGTAAGATTATACACCAGTGTGGTGTAGTGGTTAAGAGCGGTGGACTCGTAATCTGGTGAACTGGGTTCGCTTCCCCGCTCCTCCACATGCAGCTGCTGGGTGACCTTGGGCCAGTCACACTTCTCTGAAGTCTCTCAGCCCCACTCACCTCACAGAGTGTTTGTTGTGGGGGAGGAAGGGAAAGGAGAATGTTAGCCGCTTTGAGACTCCTTCAGGTAGTGATAAAGCGGGATATCAAATCCAAACTCCTCTTCCTCCTCCCCCTCCTCCTCCTCCTCCTCCTCCTCCTCCCCCTCCTCCCCCTCCTCCTCCCCCTCCTTCTCCTCCTCCTCCTCTTCTTCTTTTTCTTCTTCCATGAGTATAGTCTTAACAGTGTGTCCGTAAGTGACTGCGGAGGCCACAGTGGGGACATAGGTTTCCGGGCGGCAGTTGATCACAGTGAGGATTTGCCAAATGTGCCTTTCTCTTAGATTTTTCTGAATTTTTCAGAATTCAGCTTTAACATCATTAAAAAAATTTTTTTTGAAAAAATGTATATGCCGCCCTATACCTGGGGTTCTCAGGGCAGTTCACAGAATAAAATCAATATATAAAACCACAAAATACCTAAAAAACATTTTTTTAAAAAACCAATAGCACCCCTCCCCACAAAAAAACACATTTTAAAAGGGCATAGGATGTAAATCAGATCGACCAAAGGCCTGATTAAAAAAGAACGTTTTTGCCTAGCATCTAAAGGTGTATAATGAAGGCACCAAGCAAACTTCCCCAGGGAGAGCATTCCACAAACAGAGAGCCACTGCAGAGAAGGCTCCGTTCTCGTGTTGCCATCCTCCAAATCTCTCAAGGAGGAGGCACGTGAAGAAGGGCCTCAGAAGATGATCTTAGGGTCCAGGTAGGCTTTTTGGCTTCTGAAAAGCACTTACTGGAAACCACAAGAAGGAAGAGTTGCTGTTGTGTTCGATTCCTGCATGCAGGTTCCACAGAGGTATCTATCTGCTTGGCCACTGTGGGAACAGGGTGCTGGATTAGATGGGCCAGACCTGCAAGATTTGGAGATTTGGAGGACACATTCCAGATAGGCAAAAACACACAGGATACAAAACAGGGCCAGTGTCAAGTGCAGCCTAGGCAAAGGTCTAGGGACCAGCTAGCAGGGTTTGGCAAGGCCTACTGGCCATGGGCTGGATCACACGCGCAGAAATCCTCCGTGGGCTGGGCCAGCGCAGCGCGGCACCGGAAATCGTGTCTGCGCATGTCCACGGCGCTGAAAATCGCTTCTGCACACGGCCAGACACCGAAAACCGCACCTATGCAGAAGTGATTTCCGGCGCCATGGACATGTGCAGACGTGATTTCTGGCATCTGGGCATGCACAGAAGCGATTTCCGGAGCCGCGGAAGAGAGTTCCTGCACCGCGCTGCGCCAGTTTAGCACACCATGCAGGGACTTGCTGAGCAGGCAGCTTGGTTTGGGGTTGGCTCATAGGCTGGTTAAGCAACCCTTATGGGCTGCTTCCAGCCCATGGGCCTTAGATTGCTGACCTCTGAGCTAGAGAGACCCCAAGGGCCACAATTCAGGTACGGGATCTGAGGCTCCAAACTGCTAGTACATTAGAGGTTACCCAGATTTTGCAGTGGTCATCTGCCAAGTGTGTTCCTCTGAAGCCCATTTTCTTTTCCAATAATATTTCATGCCAAGTGAGTGCAGCTGTATTAACAATTAAATTACATGCTGCTTCCTCACCCAGCCTGCCTTGCTACATACAATCTTGGACAGGAATACAGAATTGCCTTTCTTATTTACATCCCCTTCCACCCCACCCTCCCAAAGCTTCAGATGTAATTTTGGGATGAGCGCATTCTGATCTTATTTTCACATTGCACCGCCCTGAAACTCATTTACCCTTCCTAATATTCTCGGCGAATTATTCTTTTGACATTTGCACGTTACGAGAAATGAATACTCATTGTCAACAAGTCTGCCTGACTCGGTGGCGGTTTCAGAGCCGTCATTCCCAATTAACACCTTCCCCATACAGGGCAGTTATTAATATTAAAGGGAAAAAGAAAGGCAGCTCACATTTTCATTAGGACTTCACAAAACCTGATTGCGCACAGGGGTGTATCGGCCGACATTTCCGGCTTGATTAAAGCACGCCGTACCTTTTCAACAAATGTGCCAGCTCACACTGTTTCTCACACGAAAATTCCGTTGACGTGAAGATGAAATAGCGCAGAGAAAGAGCAGTGCATATTGGAATGTCCACTTGAAGAGCTCGTAGCCATTTCCAGGACTTCGGCTCCACTTTTTGCAAGCATCTAAGAACTTCGGAAAGATGCAAGAGTGTAAGGCGAACCCTTTGGGACCTAGGCCGAGAAACCATCTAGCCCAGCAACCAACCTGTTCTCACAACGGCAAACCAGACAAGAGAACATGGCATTAAGTTTATGTCATCATTTGACATGGTCTTAATGTCAAAGCGAGCCAGTGTGGTGTAGTGGTTAAGAGCAGTAGTCTCGTAATCTGGTGAACCAGGTTCGCTTCCCCGCTCCTCCACATGCAGCTGCTGGGTGACCTTGGGCTAGTCACACTTCTCTGAAGTGTCTCAGCCCCACTCACCTCACAGAGTGTTTGTTGTGGGGGAGGAAGGGAAAGGAGATTGTTAGCCGCTTTGAGACTCCTTTGGGTAGTGATAAAGCGGGATATCAAATCCAAACTTTTCCTTGCAGGCCAGATTTGATGGGTGTGTGGGACCAAAGGTTTCCCATCCCTGATCTGGCCGTTAGGACTTTCCCCACAACACCCACTCTCCCCAGAGCATGTACCTTCCTGGCCCTGATCCACACCTTTCTTGAGTGTGCCTGGCTGGAATATGTCCGTAGACTCTGCTACGGTGTCTTGCTTGTACAGATGAATGACAGAGAGGAGAATATGAGAAAGCTCGCCAGGGGTAGCTCAACTGGTGGAGCAGGAAACTCTTAATCTTAGGGTTGTGGGTTTGAATCCCACGTTGGGCGAAAAGATTTTTGCATCACAGAGGGTTGGACTAGATGATCCCTGTGGTCCTTCCCAGCTCTACAGTTCTGTGATTCTGCGAAGAAACTGCTGGATAATCTGCTTAAGTATTTAAATATGCATTTCGAAACAGATTGTCTTTCAGATTATGCATTTCTAAATGCATTGCGATGTGTTGCTTTGAGCCGAGTTCTGCATCAGAACATTTTGGAAGTGCGAAAGCTGGTAGATGACTGAGTTCCATACGTTGCTCCATAAGGTATAGTAAAAGTCAGTGGAAGCTGCAAAGAACTGAATTCTTCAAGCATTCCTAGCTTTGAACTTGTACTCATCCCCCACATATACACACAAATGCCCAACATGATACCAGAAAATATGGTCTCACCCCTTATATGCCCAATCAATCACTGCTCTGCAGGTGAGGACCTCCTGTAGATACCATCTTATCGGGAGGTCCATGTTTAGGAGTACAGTTAATGGGTTAATTCCATTAATTGACTGATTTCCGAAATGCATCTAGTTGAATCTGGTAGCAGCGCGGATGCTACTGGCCCAGAGATGGAAAGAAGATAAAGTCCCGACCAGAGACGAATGGCTGATGAAGATGATGGACTACGTTGAAATGGCGAAAATGACCGAGAAAATCAGAAACCAGGAAGAGAGAAACTTTAATAAGGAATGGAAAAAAATTGCAAATTAGCCAAGAAAACACTGTAAATAACTAAAAGCTTTGGCAGGATTTGAGTAAAGCTTGTACTAAAAACTAAGGTAAAAATGGCTTATTTTAAGAAAAATAAGAAAATATATGATGCAGTTGAAAAAGACTGAAAATGGAAACCATGGAAGGGTGGAAGGGAGTCTAATGATTCAGGAAATCCTAAATGTTGATGATTATGTCTACTGTTTGAATTTAAATGTGTAGTGGAAAACTGAATAAAAAAGATTATATATAAAAAGAATCTGGTGACTTGTTTATCAGTGTTACAGGGCATATTAGGCATGTATAAAAGGACTCAGGTTACAGTGTTTGGGTCTTTGGAAGTGGGCCATGGGACTTTATTAGGAAGGATCAGGATCACTGCAGGACTGTGGAGTTACCTGAACATTTCGAGAAGAGCCCGTGCGAGAAGAAGAGTTGAAGAACTGCCAGGAAAAAATATATAAAAATAATAAAAAAAGAACTGCCAGGACCTCAGGACTCTGAGAACTCTAAACTTTTAGAGGACTCTGTGCAAGTTGACTTAGAACTTGTGTGTGGACTTTGTCCAGCAAGGACTTTGAAGTATAGACACCCCTCTGGGTCCAGAGGGAGAAAAGGCTTTGTGTAACCTGTAAATAGTATAGTGTGTGTTTTTTGGGTGCCCAATAAAACAACTCTGCCTGAAACAACAACAGTTTGGTGTTGGTGAGTCTAACCACTTTACTGAAGCTTCCAGGGTATGCACACAGAGAGCAATAGTTGTAGGCAAAGAAGATAAACACACACACACCCAACGGTCCGTTCCTTCTAGGAATCAGGGCCTTTAGTGTGGTGGCATCTACCTTTTAGAAGTCCCTCCCATTAAATATGGTGCATGCTCTGGTTATCTCTCGCTTGGACTACTGCAAAGCGCTCTATGGTGACCTGGAAACTACAACTAATCCAGAATGTGGCAGCTAGACTGGTGACTAGGAGCAGTCGCCGAGACCACATAACACCGGTCCTGAAAGACCTACATTGGCTCCCAGTATGTTTCTGAGCACAATTCAAAGTGTTGGTGCTGACCTTAAAGCCCTAAACGGCCTCGGTCCAGTATATCTGAAGGAGCGTCTCTACCCCATCATTCAGCCCAGATACTGAGGTCCAGCGCCGAGGGCCTTCTGGTGGTTCCCTCGCTGCAAGAAGCCGAGTTACAGGGAACCAGGCAGAGGGCCTTCTCGGTAGTGGCACCCACCCTGTGGAACGCCCTCCCATCAGATGTCAAAGAGAAAAACAACTACGAGACTTTTAGAAGACATCTGAAGGCAGCCCTGTTTAGGGAAGCTTTTAACGTTTGATGCATTACTGTATTTTAATATTTTGTTGAAAGCTGCCCAGAGTGGCTGGAGAAGCCCAGCCAGATGGGCGGGGTATAAATAATAAATTATTATTATTATTATTATTATTAGACAGGCACTGTCTCTGTTGCTCTGTGGGTACCTGGGGAAGAACTGCTTCTTTCAACAAGCCTTTTGACTAGAGATCTTTCCCAGGCTGCATCTGTACTGAAATTGCTATTAGATGTTCCCAGTCTTTTATCATTTGGGCCTCTTTGGAAGGGGGGGTGGGAATAATAATAATAATAATAATAATAATAATAATAATATACCACCATCACTTTCTGATTACTTCTGATTCAATTATTAACAAGTCAAGGGTAGGAAGAAGTTTGAAATACTTGTATACCAAGAGCAGAATGCTTCATCATAATTAACCCATAGAATCCCCACTCAGCCATTGAACCCACTAGGCAACCTTGGGCCAGTCACTGCCTCTCAGCCTAACCTACCTCACAGGGTTGTTGTGAAGGATGAAATGGGAGGGAGGAGAACCAAATAACCCACCGTGAGCTCCTCGGAAGAAAAGGTGGTGTATAATTGTGATAAATAAACAAACAGAAAGAACCATGTTGCGTTCTTTTACATTATTACACAGCAACGTCCAGAGAAATTGAGAAAATTGCTCTGCTTCGCACGAGTTATTTTTCCACCCTGTCGCTTTATTATTTCAAAGGTGAGCTTTGCTAATATCTCAGACAAACAACCACAACCACAGCAACCTGCCATCCTGTGGTCTGGCAGTTGTCATGGCAACTCCCCCCTCCTCTTCTTCTCCCTCCCCCTCCCACTCAACACTTTATAAAATTTTATTTAATAACAGTGTGAACTGGATCTCAAAGCTGTAAGGAAACGTAACCTACTGGGGAGTAAATTACAGGACACCGCATTCTCCCACACTTCCTGCGTTCCGTAGCGTTTAGCTCCTTTGCAAGAACATGCGCTTTAACATAAAAGCAGCAATCTGCACTCGCGTTGCCCTTTCTGCCCCCTGCTGCAACGCACCCCCCTGTGCAATACAACAGGTACATGTGGCAGGCAGTTAGGGAAAAGTAAAAGGATGGGGATGAAGGGTTCTGGAACACCTCCCTTTGATGGATGGAACACTGGGGGGACGACCCCAAATGCCCTCAGCATGCATAATGCACTTGTATTAAATTACCTTGTTTGTTTGCAACCTCCCCCAAATCAATCTCATTCATGAACGCGAACTCATACATGGAAAGGAAGTGAGTAGGATGGTAAAAAAAAATAATAATTGTAGAAACCCCCTGCTCTTTTTGTTGCAGCCTTTGTACCAGTATAGGTAAAACCAAGAGAAATGTTGACAGAAGAGGCCCTAGTGGCTGCATTATTTAAGATAAATGACTCATTGGATCAGCTTCACGGGAAAATGGACACGATAAATGCGAAAGTGGATGTTCCAATCATTAAAATTAACTTAAATATAGAAAGTATAAATAATACCAATATAGAAATCACCCAGAAATTGACACAGGAACCGATTTCGGTACGGCAAACTGCAGAGGAGGCCAGGGAAAAAGCTGTTGTTGCTGAATGTAAAGAAACACAACTGGAGAGAAAGAGAAAGAGAGCCCCAGCTATACAGAAGCAACTTGATGAATATAAGTTGACGCTTGCGATGACTGAACTTAAAGAAAAACAAATTTGAGGATTAGAGTTCACCTTTGGTGGACATGCCCAAGGATTAATACACTTTGGGAGATGATTCATAATGAAATGAAAAAGGTATTTAAATATACCTTTTTGAAGAAACCAGAGGCCTTTCCCCTGGGCATGGCTGGCCAACTGGTGTTAAAGAAGGACAGAACTCTTTTTACGTATGCTACAATAGCAGCAAGAATACTCATTGTGAAGAACTGGAAGACACAAGA